GGGAAGCTGCGACCCAATCAGAAAGTCTGAGATTCTGTACTGCTCCCTCAACAAAATAAAGTGACTCACATGCTCAACATTACAGACACAACGGCCGCATCTGCACTGACCATTACCGCTGCAAATCTGCTCGTTCGGAGTTCTGCAAAAAAAAAAGCTTCGATAAGGAAAGCACTTCAGACATACAGTCGAGCACTATGCTCTCGAAATTTCCAATATCCCAAGCTTTTTGGACAACAAACACGGTCAATTATGATATCTGTCGTGGAAGTCCCGCGAAAAGCCTGCAAGCACTGAACTGGTCGGGTAGTGTAGTGGGTAGCAGAGTCACACCTAAATGTGAGGAGAAGTAGTTCGATTTCCTTCCGATCCATATTCATTTGCAAAGGCGGCCCCGCCTGCGAGAATCTCTTCTGATGCATTTTCATTACATAAATACACAGACGCAAAACGCATAAAAACAGACCGTCGGCATTTATTTTCCAGCTCCTGGGCAGTCCGGACGCCATATTGATGTAAGTCACATTCACAGTGGCTACCACCTTTACCAGGCTGGCATTCGCATACGCCACATATCAAATCTCCAGCACCGTAGCATAAACGTGATCCTTTTTCCTGTATTACAGAAACATCACAAAACACAAAGTTTCAAAGCGACTTCTCTCGCCACCTTCCAGTAGACATTAACGCGTTCCTCATCGACAGAACTCGTTCAAATTAACATAAAAAAACATTGAAGAAGGATGGATCTTGATTATTTTTTATATTTATCCTATGATCGAAGTCTAGAAGAAAGTCAGTCCTCATTCTCTCCCTTTACCTTATCGCGCCCTCTCCTACAGCTTTCACTCTTTAGCAAGCACGACACTCGGAAGTAATTGATACGTACCTCTAAAAGCAATCAGCAAGTATCACGGATGGATAATTATGTATTTATAAGTCAAAAATAATCCTGCTTAATATTTCAGTACTTTTTAACAAAAGCGAAATTAGATCTAAGGTCAGGAGGAACTCAAGCCCCTTTCCTCCTCGTCTTGTCGCACTCCCCTCCCCTTCCTATCTGAATTTTACTTGCTAACAGAAAACACTCGGAAGTAACTCAAATGGTACTGCCGAAAACAATCACTAACCATCGTGTTAGAATACTCAAAAATAATTACCTTTAATATTTCAATATTTTATGATTAAAATCTGTAGCTAACGGATTTCGATTATATAAGTCGTTTAAAATTGTGAGAGTTGAAAGCCGGAGTTTGAAACTGTAAAATTCCACTTCTGTTGTTTGATAAGGTTATTTTACCTGATTCTGTACTTTTTCACAGTCACAACCACAGAATGGTGTGATGTACATAGCCGAAACGGTCTGATAGCCATAGGCGCCAATCGAAATCGCAATATCACCGCCTGATCGACATTCATTCAACGATACTTTTGCAAAAAATTCAATATGTTCGCCTGTTCGAACGTTAGAACACTGTCGCCCTTGAATTCGTTTCCTGAAAACATTTACTAACTAGTCAAACAAGTGTTTGTGGACGGCGTTTTTTTAAATA